CCAATAATCGTTTCCATGTCTTGATGAACTGTGTCCAGCCAGTTCTTGAGTTGATCTCGTCTTTGACGCCTCTAGCTGGCCAGTGGCGCCAACTCAGCGGTCGTATAAAGGAGCTCGTGAGGTGTACGACGGAGAACGTACCCAAACCACCTTAGTCCTCTTTCTTGCATGGCCTGAACCCTCACCCTCCCCGCAGGAGTTTTTAAGGGCTGCTTTTGCCATTAATAACGAAGTGATTAAGGCTATTTGCGTGCGCAGTATAGCGACGCAACCTTATAAACCATCGGCGTTACTCTTATCTCAGTCTCGTCGTGATCCAGCAGTAGAATGTGTGGCACTTCAACTCAGTGCCACAGTGGTTGGCTTAGTCTAGGTCTGTTCCACAACACAACTGGTGTCTCCCTACTCCACAACACATATAAATGCACCGAGGCAAGTACTCCCCTGGTTACTTTCATCTTCTTTGACCTCCAGTCTAAACGGTTATCAGGATGCACGGCTTCGTAAGACTGTGGATGAGAAGTAACTGTAAAGTGGGGGAGCAATGAGGCATAGCAGCAGCAGTGCACTGGGGCGCCAGCCAATCCGCAAATATGTATTCTCCACCCCCTCCTAAGAAGCCATATTTCGTTATACTCCACAATCTAAAAATGCGTGCTCAGCAGGTAGTGTTATTGAAAAATGTTCCTGGTAGCGGTTTTAAAGTAAAGGATAATACAAACGTTTCTCGGTGAATTTCCGCTTGGCGGTCGTAACAGGACATCAAAGGGAAGTCCTCGGCTCCTCCTAGCGCGCTAGCTTTTCGTTATGATTTGATGCGTGGGCATCTTCAGACTTGTGCATCCACCGCACATGACTCAATCATTACCGTCAATTTTTACACTGCTTTGTTTGTTTCCAGTATCACTCACCTTTGTGTTCCGTTTCCTTCTGAACTTGTTATTAAAAAGTGCTAAATGCCTGCCGTCGTCTGTCTGATCACATTAGTATTCCCAGTCTTAAGCCAGATTCCAGCACTTATGATCTTTGTTGCACCTGTAGAAACTAAATGGCAGTCCAAGGTACTCAATCTTCCCTCATTTTTCAGTCCGCCGTTGTCGGTTATTCTCTGCTTCCATCTGAGTCATTACGATGAATCAATATTGGTTTTGTGCGGTCGTGGCCTTCGGTTGCGCACTCGCCTTCTTTCTAACTTCTCGCGGTTTCCGCAAACGGGTGTTGAGGATCCTCTCCGGAAAATGTGAGCTTCAGCGCATACTTGAAGAAAATCGCGAAGGATCTGGACGAACTCTCGCATTCGGTTAGGTTATTTTTTCTTTACGATTTCCTCCCTTTAGAAAGATCACTTTCCAATTCAAAAGATCCTATTCTCAGCAGCAATCTCAGAAAGCTGTCCCTTGATCTTTATGTGGACTATGCTATGGAGATAAAGGGAATTAAAGCTGCTCCGGGGTAATCGATTCTGGGAGTTATTTATTCGGTATAGTTTCGCAGATGCATTTGGTCTGGCCGTCACGCAGATTCGTGGGTATCAAGATGTTTGTGATAAATGCGAATTCTTACGTTCGACTGCATTTGACGCATCGGATGAACATCATTTGGATATTTTGAGGGGGGTTAGTTCATAATTGTCAACTTAATTGTCTAGTTGTGGAAATTCTTGCTTCCAAACGAGACCTTCGAGCTTGTGAGCAAACGGTGGTCTGATATTGGATTTCAAGGAACTTGTCCGGTCACCGACTTTCGTGGAATGGGTCTTCTTGGCGCCCTTAACCTGTTGTAAGTCAGTTATCTAATTACCTGCATGGTCTTCTAGGTTTTTGCTTTTCCTCTTCTCTCGGATTTTCAGATTCAGCAGTTTATTGTCTTGGACACATCCTGCTTTTTTTGTTTTTAGCGGTTTCAGCCACAACTTTTGATTCTATTCGACTCAGATATAAGACGCTGTTAGACCTTATGTCTTCGGAATTCTCCAAGGCCTTAATACTTACTTCAAAAAATGTACATTTTGCCTCAGTAGGCAATGGCGAGATGCATCTCTGACATCCATCAGTATTGCGAATGTTCATTTGCAGTCGCGTTCTTGGTATTTCGCCAAACTTTAGTAGTGAAATGTAACTTCAACTTCTATGATTACCCACAATGACAGTGTAAATAATGTTCTCCTAGATCACCTCACTTTATTCTTTCGCCGCCGGCATTTTGCCTTCAGGCTTTCTCAACCAGGGCTTTCTTACCGAAACAAAATACGCCTGATGTCATATTCCCTTCATGTTTCAGATACTTTGCAGAAGCACACACTACTCTAGCTAGAGGGATCCTTTCAGCGTCAGCCCTTTCTACTTCCAGGTACGTTCTTCCGTCTGACTTAGAGAATTCCCATATTCTTAGGTAACTTGACCCAAGTATGATGGAACT